TTAAGTGTGCTGCAAAGCACACTACTATTCTTCCTCGCTGCCTTCATGTCTATATTATGTAGTGTGCCTGCCAAAGCAAGCACACATTTCATCGCTCCTCGATGCACATTATTACGTATAGGGCCTGCAAAGCAGCCACCTACTATATACCTCAACTTATACGGGCCCTATATTAGTGTGCCTGCCAAGCAAGCACCACCTACACATTCCTCGGGCAATATGTAGTGTGCCTGCAAAGCACACTACTATTATTCCTCGTGCTTATTTAGTGTGCCTGCAAAGCACACTACTATTATTCCTCGGGCTACCTTATATGGAGGTGGTGCCTGGCCAAAGCACACACTACTAGTTATTCCTCGGGCTTATTGATTAGTGGTCGCTGCAAAGCCACACCTACTATTCTTCCTCCTTGCCTCCTATTAGTGTGCCCTGCAAAGCCAACACTAACTATTTATTCCTCTGACTTATTATTATTATTGTTCTTATTAGTGTGCCTGCAAAGCACACTACTATTATTCCTCATTATTATTAGTGTGCCTGCAAAGCACACTACTATTATTCCTCGTACTTATTATTATTAGTGTGCCTGCAAAGCACACTACTATTATTCCTCGGGCTTATTATTATTAGTGTGCCTGCAAAGCACACTACTATTATTCCTCAGGCTTATTAGTGTGCCTGCAAAGCACACCTCGACCACCGCTGCTCATTAATGCATGCATTTGACTTTTGTTACTTGTCATTTAACCATAGATATCTAAGCTACTTCTGTATGTCAGCATCTCTAGTTAGTTTTAAAGCTCCACATTTAGTTCAGCTCTGATTAGTTGTTTCCATTCAGGCCTGGTGGATTCTTGTAAATGCCATAAGGAGCACTAGGAGGAGCCAGATGAACCAGATTTTTTCACAGATGATCTGTCTCATGAACTACTGTCAGGATGGTTTCACCAAATATCACACAGTTATTTTTATAAATATTACCTACTGGAGCTTTAACTATTTAACCATTTAGAGGCACCTAGTGGCCAACTAATTTTCTAGAAAGTAGGGCACTCTATAGGGGACCTTATCATGTTTAATCTCCCATAGGGGTATCCAAGTGGGCACTTTTGTGGCATTTTCTTATTTTCCAACATGGGAACACCACGGGCTAGCCTGGAGATAAAGAAGAGGGGGAGGCATTATGACAGATATGATACTGTATGTAACGGAAAGCAAATGTTGCAGATCAAGATAGTAAGATCTTTTGAGTGAGGAGAATTTTTTATTTGACATGCTGGTATCACTCGCAACAAAAAGTGTTTTGGCAAGAAATAGATGGAGCTGTACGCTGGTCCGTGAGCTGGGGGACGTTTTCTTGTGAGGATGAGTAACTGTTGCTAACTCGAGGGCAGATGATAGGCAGCCAGCTATCAGAGAGGAGTTGATAATATCAGTCAGCAGAGGGAGCAGATCATCAGAAATAGCCTGGAGGAGGAAGGAGGACAGAAGCCATATGCAGAAAGGTTAGAAGAGGAGATAGAAAGTGATTTCAGTGGAGGGTGAAGGTAGTCAGAAGTGGGATCAGATATTGCCAAAAATGATATCAGATGTTCAAATTTTACGCACAGAGAGAGGAGAATGTAGTGAGTGGAAAGAATCAGCGAAAGATAGTGTTTTCATTCAAGAACAGAAAGAGAAAGAAGTGAACACTGTAATTTCTGCGAGCATTAATAAATTCATTCACTCTGAGGTTGCCATAACCAGCTTGTCTTCAGGCCCACATGTCCCCTGTAAATATGAATTTTAATCTTTTCAAGCTGGCATGTCCCACCGCAAGATTGGTTTATGAGATTTTTATCCACAGCTCTGCTGCCTGTTGATAAGAACTGCAGCTAAATGTTAATCTAGCTGAATCCTCAGTAATGAGCAAGGCTTTTAGAATACAAGTACAGTATGACATGTGTGCACCATGTGACGAACGGCCATGTCTCTGCTCTCGTACAGGGTCTTAGAGGGGACAAGGGAGAGCCTGGAAACCCAGGATTACCAGGCTTTAGTGGACCTAAAGGCCCTGCGGTGAGTGGTAGATTTTACATTTTCTGATTAAAAGATTACTTGCAGCTATATAATAAGCTGTGGATCATGTTAACTTTTATCTTAATTTCCAGGGTCCACTCGGTCCAATTGGCCCAGAGGGAAAACAGGTAAGCGCTTCATAAATCCACAGGTGACTAATGTGATATAGAATAAATAGATTTCTTGCTCACATCCACTGTTTGTTGTCTTTTGTAGGGGATGCCAGGTAGAGTTGGTGATCGTGGCAACAAAGGAGATAAGGTGAGTGCTAGATAATAGATGCACCTGATTGATACAATTGTTTGATGCAAGTGAGTCAGTCAAACACTCAGACCTTTAGGATCATAATAATCAGACTTTTTTGCATTTTTTGTAGTATCTTATTAGCATGGCTCTGAAAGTTAAGGCACAGCAACTTGCACATGAAATTTGACAAAACACAAGCAAATGAAGAAGACAAATTGATCATATGTGCATACATACAAGTGAGGAGATACAAACAAATAAAGAAACACGTTTCAAGAACAGAGGACACAACCAAATACAGAAAGGGGCACTGTTGTAATACGTTTACTAGATAACGATAATGGAGAGATGATAGGAATCGAGGTAGACCATTGCTGTTCTTAACCCCTGAACCACAGGGTTGCCCAAGGAGGCTGACTTCTTCTTCGGGATCAGAGTAATCCAGGTGATTGTTGTCTGTATACTGCGCACAAGACCTGCTAGTAGCCAAAGCAGAAGGACCTTTCATGATGCAGATTTGGCAAAAATGTAAACAAATATGACACAGTAAAATAAATGAGCCGAAGTTAGGGGATGTCTCAAAAGTGCATGCAGAATGGCAAAAATTGTTTTGTTAATAGCTTTGTCATTTGTAAACAGACTAACTCTACATTCATCTGGTCCTCCTCCCATTACTGTGGAATGGTTTACACTTGTGTTTAGATTTACTTTTACTTCATATATAGGCTCTTACTATCTTATTATATCTCTTAAGCTCTTATTATATTTCTATTTCCATTTTATTTTTACTTTACTATATGTATATACCTACTTTTTCTATTCTATATATTGTGTTAGATATTGTATATAAGTACTATTTCCCTAACGTTGTGTGAGTAGAAAACTGTAATGAACAAATTTCCACCCCGGGGATCAATGAAGTATTTCTGATTCTGATTCTGTTTATACTGTATACACAGCCATGCATGTGCCCTGATATGTCCCACTGCTGCCTGCAACCCTTGTTTTATTTCCATTATTCCAACACTTACCCCAGATTCCACTGGGCACGGCACTGGGCACGGCTTCATAACACAGATACACAGAGAGTGTTTCAGAGGGGGAGCGCCTTCAGAGTGTGTTGCTTGCCATACATTGTTCATATATTTTGTCCTTAAAAAGGATACATTACAGTGTGTTTCTCCGCCTAAAATCTCTTCTAACCTGCATTTGACTGATTGACTTCTAGTCTGGTGTTTTACTAGATCAGTGTTGCTCTAGCATAAATATACACAGTATTTTATTTTGATAATTGATTGGATTCTCTATGTCGTTTATGTTTCTGACTTCCTGTCAGTGCGATTTGCTTTGTGCCGCTTAACACGAGTGGGTCCCAGCTTCCAGCAAAAATAGACCAGCCACGTATTCCACATTGTTCAGAGCAGACACTTTTGGTACGCTTCTGGTGAAATTCAGAGCCTTGCCAAGAACGTGCCCGGTGGAATTTGGGTTTGTTTTTCTTTTGGTTGGTGGGGTTCAAATAGCTCCTTCAAGCCTGAACATTTACAATTGCTGTCATCTAATCCAGGGAGATCCAGGTATGAAGGGAGATAAAGGACATTCAGGAGATCCAGGCATGCCAGGAAACCCAGGACCCCCAGGCAGAAAGGGCCACACAGGGATGATGGGTATGTCAGGACCACCAGGAGAAATAGGAGCTCCTGGGCCACAAGGACCTTCAGGAAACCCTGGTGTCCCAGGCCAAAGAGTGAGTCTTATTCCTGAGAGCTTAATTTCATTTTGAAACAATGTTCATGGCACAGTAATATTGACAGCAGATGATTTCCATTCAATTATAAATAATTGAGTTAATCATTACCATCTTTGTTGTCTCAGGGAGAGTCAGTATCACTGGAGCAGATGAGACGGCTCATCCAGGAGGAGCTGGCAAAACAATTAGATGGTAAGGAGGCAATATCTACTTGGGTCTCGTCTTGCCTGTAGATCTCAGAGAGACATTTGCTTCATGTGGGCTAATTTAGGAGAACCTAACAGAGTTATATTTTTTTAATAAATTTTCTTTTCTGTCCAGCCAAAATGGCTTACCTTATGGCTCAGATCCAGCCATCCCATGTGAAGAGTACAGCGGGCCGTCCAGGTCCTCCAGGCCCTCCGGGTAAGGATGGCGGCAGTGGACGACCTGGCCCCCCTGGAGAGCCCGGTATGCCTGGACAGAATGGAGGAGAAGGACCCAGGGGACCCATGGGCCCTAAAGGTAAGATAAAGGCTCACAGCAGTGTTATTGGTTGTGTGTGTCCTTTTTAAGGTTTTTGTTCTTCTATAGTTTGCTACTACAGTGTTTACTACTTCCCAATTCTCAACTTGGAAATTGGAGTTGAGATTTGAACTTGATGTCTTCAATAGAACTTTGTCATTAAAACTGCTTCGTGTTCAGCTCAATTTTATTTGGAAAATACTCTTGAGAGAAGATTGATACCACTTTAATGTCTGCACGCTAAATATAACGCTACAACCAAGAAACAGTTAGCTTAGCACAAGGGATGGAAGCAGTGGGAAACTGCTAGCCTAACTCTCTGTAAGGGCAACAAATTCCGCCTACAGTACCAGCTCCTTTAAAGCTCACTAATAAACTCGTTATGTCTCACTTATTGAATCCATACTAAAACCCAAGAGTGAAAATGTCAAGGTGTAGGGTGCCAGAGAATTTCTTGGCGGGACACAGTGATGTCCTGAAATCCTGTCACAACTGTAAGGTTGCCAATGTAACCAGCGGAGAAACAAGGAAGTGATATAGTAGTATTCCAGCACTAACCTGAGTGCACCAAATGGTTTGTTACACAGAACAGTCTAGGAAGTTATCCTTGGAACCAGTTCTGCTGTAACTCATGCTAGCAGCATCTATGCTAACCTCTTTAGCAGCCGCCATTATAGTTTTTGCTTCTTACTGCATCACACTGCTTTGGTTTCCCCAAACCACTGTGGTTTCGGACACAAGTGCATAGCCTTTAAGCCTGGTAAGATTTATTGTCGTGTGATTTTGTGATCCTGTGAATCCAGCTTAAACACATGAGCCCAATTACATCATCCAAGGAATCACAAACTTGATCACACTCCACAGAAGATATTATACAAAAAGCTGAGCAGAGAATGATCATGCTACAGTCCAAAGGCTTGGTACACAGACACAGGGAAAGGGCTGATATTCCAAACAGTCCATTTATTCCACACTACTGCTCAGACAACCTTTCTAAAATATACTTGCTCTTTAACTGTCCAACTGTTAGCCCTCTTCTTCCATTCAAACTCATATCCACTGCAACTTTAATCATACCCTAAAAGACTGGAGAACTATATACATGTCATGAATCAATTTCATCATACAGTAATGCTCATGGCTGTTCTGAACTGCTTATTAATAAATACAACAGCTGATAAGGTGCAATCATTGTGACCATGCTGATTTCCTGTTCCTTTCAGGTGAGAAAGGAACAAAAGGAGAAAAGGGAGAACCTGGTATCGGTGAACGAGGAGAGCAAGGACCCTCTGGCCCCATAGGTAACAACCAGTCTCTTACTTACTGTATTCATTCTTATTTGGTTGGTTTCAACCAATTTGGCCCCTAATTGTTTCTCTTCCCACTGTAGGACCTGCCGGTATGCCTGGTTATGGCAAAGACGGAAGCCCAGGACAAGCTGGAGCCCAGGGAGAGCCAGGAAATCCCGGCCCCCACGGTCAACCTGGACCTCCAGGTCCTCCTGGTCAATGTGACCCCAGCCAGTGTGCCTACTACGCCAGCCTGGCACACAGACCCCACACCAAAAATGTCAAGGGGTCTTAAGAAAGAGGAGACACAAAGAGCTTGAAGTCCAGCTGTATTTATGAACTTGGTCGTGTCAGTCTGAATCAAGAACTTTTCTTTTTCAAGATAACCTCAGTTTGGAGGGCTGAAGCAACTTGTGCTGCCGGTCAGATTCTTTGTTTTTTTTTGGTATGAAGCGTGGGATGGATGGGGATTAAGCATCAAAGGTATTTTTCTGATTTAATATGGGGTAAAGAGGGCAGCTAAACAGTTTTTTCCTCACTTGCATGCTTCCTGTAAAATATATAGGGAGATAACGAGGATGATACAATTCCCTCCTCTTAAACCCCCCCCCCATCGGGAGTTAAGATTTGGGAGTCTGATATTGTATCGTTTCATCAGTAATTACCAAAAAACGTCAGTAAGGCAATTTCTTGCAGGAATATGTCTGCACCACAGTCTTTCCTTTTTCCTGCCTCACACCATTTTGTATCAATTACCATTCGCAGCCCACGCTGTCCTACATCGAGCAATAGATGTCAGTCACTGCTCACTAAATTGTTCTCACGCTAGGGATCTTCTACCAGTCTACTGGTAATTACTCAGTCAAGGGAATTATCTGTTTTATTGTCATTGATGGGAAGGGGGAGGGGGGACAGACTGTGAGGCACGATCTTAAACACCAATAGTGATTTTGTGTAGGAGGAGTGTTAATGAGTTAGTGTGGAGAGTGATGATGACCACATTTGTGCAATTCTTGCCTCCAGGCTGGTAGCATTGTTCTTATGTAGTGTTTGGAAAGTATTGGCACCCAAAAACTGTTAGAAAAATCCCCCTTAAACAAAGTGAACATGTCTGATTTATTTAGACAGAAATAAAACAAAATTTTGGAGGCAACAGAAATTACTCATAAATTAGAGCCTTGGCGATGTTGTTTCAAGCTTTGGGAGAGATTTGAAGGATTTCATTCCAAAATTCAGTTTATTTGCCTAAAAATTGCAACACAGTGCTCACACTATCAATGAAATGGTATGAATTTGTATCTTTTAAAGGTGGATATCTCATTTTGAAATGGAAGTAATTTAGATTTGCTTGAAAATCTGTCCAAAACAGTAATAACATGACACTTGTGCATAATTCATACATGCCATGCAATGATTTGTTCTAAGCTCACCCACAGGATAGCTATTAAACCTGAGTCTAAAAACAGAGATGTCGAGACAGGACGAAATGTCACTGTTAGATTTGTACTTTTATGTTTAATGAAGTGGCTCTGGTCATTCTCGCTTTGAGGTATGCATAGACCCGAGCAGTAAACAGCTTTAAGGAGATGGTATAATTGCAGCCTTTGTTCACCTTTCTTGAAAAGCTGCTTGTTTCACACTGCTTTCTTTAAATGTGTCACTTCCTTTCTGTTCAGTGGGGCTTAATAAGTGCCTACGCTGTGGCAGTGCCCGGCAGCTCAGACCCGTTCTGAAAAGACTCTGCTTTTCTTATTTGTCCCCTGGAACCCTAAATTGGAGCGTTGCTTCCATGCATCCTGATGACCAGAGCAGTTGTGGTAACCATTAAGAAGATTTTTTGTCTTATGTCCCTCATGGACCAATTACACCTCTCCCTAACCTCAGATGTGCTGGTCATCTAAAATCTATTAAATAGCCTCCACAAAAGGTATCACATTTGTCTTCCTTTTGAAAACATAAAGAAACACGCCAAAACATACGGTATGACCTACAGGTCACGGATTATGATTGTATGGGCCAGCCATACTTACAATCTCTTGCTCAGGTTACCTTTTGGGAAGTCATTCATAAAGAATGTAAAGCTGTGGCTCTGACACAACTTAGTTTTGAAGATGTTAGTAAAGCAGACTGGAGGTTTTAGTTTGACAAATATTTCTCGGCTGCTCTGGAGGCAGGAGTAATTTCATTTGTTGAAGTTGTGTCATTTTTGAAAGAATTAACAGCACATTCTTCATTTAACAAATGAAAAGTTGAGTTCATGAACAATAAAGTGCACCCTTGCTAAATTCTGTACACTCAGGGGTTTTCCTGCTGTAGCCTCACTCGGTCTGGTATGACCAATAGCTTATTGGTGGCTAGTGTTAATGCTAATGTTAGCAAAAGGTTGAATTTAACATTTACATTTACATGTTTCCACATGTGACAATGGCCTCTCTTCAACTAAAGTTACATAGTTACAGTTATGGTTCAAAATAGAAACATTTTAATAAAAAAGCTCATGTCCATAGCATTAGGTTAGCTTGCTAGCTTGCATTAATACATAAAAATGGCTAGTTTAATATAGGCTGGCCAGCTATGCTCACTAGCTGCTTTTTCAACTTTTTTATGTACAATATGTTGCCAACAAAACTGTAGATGTTACAGCACCTCTGGGATGTATCTTGCCTTCAGAACAGCTCTGCCTCTGAGAAATGTTCGTATCACTAAAACTACCATAAAACTTCTGATAATAGCCCGGGTGTTTATTTGCTTAAATCACTGAACTCAGCCTGCCTTTATTGGGGACAGGCCTTAAATTCCTTTAGCACAAAACTCTTGCCAGCACAGATGGAAATACTATGTGAATGTGCTGCTTCTCTTGAGTTTTCTTAAGCAAATTTGACAACTTAAATAGGTTAAATTTCATGCTGCCGCCTTCAACGGGAACGTTGTTTTACGGCAGCTGGTATTTTGTTTACCATGCCGGTAATTCTGAATAATATTATATTGTAGTGCTCATAGTTTTCTTAAAATGAACCAAACAATTGAATTGTGGAGAATCTAACTAATGTGCAGCATGTCCATATTGACAAAGGTTTAAACATTTATATTTGTGTAGACAAACTAAACAACTTAAAACTCGCTCAAGCAGGCGACCCGGTGGGCTTTAAGAGGTTTTATACATCCAGATACTTCCTATAAAATCCAGACCAGGCTTCTAATTGAGACCTGCATTTATTTGGCAAAATGTATGGCCACACTAGGCTAGTAAAGGAGACCTGCTTCTATATAGGAACCTGCTTTTATAAGTTTTATGGTACATTAGGTTCAGAATCATTGTTTGGTCCTAAATGTGTGATTGGAATGAATTACCTGCCATGTCATACCATTTAATATATCTTTCTATTAGCTGCTTCTTTGTCAGTGATTTATTATTGCACAATCAAACCGCATCAGTATTGCCCTTTCTTGGTTTTGTAAATGCTTGATTCAGTTGCCAATAGATGTGTTACAGGGTGGGATGGTAAGTAAGTTGCAGCACACAGCTTACAGTTTTGTTGTGCATATTAGCCAAACATCTTTCATTATTCAAATTAGCTATTTTTGCTAATTGAAAGATTTTAAAGTTAAAGTTATCAGGATTTAAACCAATACAATTGTGTTTTAATGCAGTAAAAATGTATTAACCTGTTTTTCCCCTTTTTTCCTGATGAATTGGTGCTAAGATATTTTAAATTAGTAGAATATTGTAAGTATTGGAAAGACACATGTACTGTACTGTATAATAAAGACTGGAACAGATTCATTTTATAAAACAGGCTTTGCTTTGTTTTTAAATAGGCAATGCTAAAATAAGGTCCCTTTGACTTCTACACCCCTTCTGCCATTCATCATGTTCAATGCTGCATCTGTAAACTGAAAATATAAAGCAATCACCAGTCTTTCGCTGAATCAAATTTTATGAACCATGTGCATCCTTTCACTTATGCACACAACTTTAAATCCACTGGCTCTGAGCCATGATACAATCTATTAAATCAAAGGGATGTCCTTAGGACGGCTGCTACGTTAACTCTCCAGCAGCTTGCTAAAGGTCATGTTTGATCTGGGAATGTATTTGTGCTGTGCCGACAGAGGCAGGGATGATGGTGACTCTCCTTTGTAACCAGGCAACAGTGAAATGCCCTCCTGAATCTAGATTATATCCATAACAACCCGGGGACCTTGTTTTCAATACAAAACCATCGTACTGTAGAGTGGAATTTCATTGATCGACCACCTTGTCATGTGCATACCTATCTACTTAATTCTCTAAATTGATTCTTCCCAAGGTTGCTCAACTGTTATTGGAGCACAGAGCAAAAAGGGGCAGGAATTAGGAAGGTTATTTGTGCTATGTAATCATCTGACTTATTGTTATCTTTGAATTTTAATACTAATAGAACGTAAGATGCAGCAGCTCTAAGATAGATTTTGTGTTCCATTAAACACTCTCAATACACTAGTGCACACATTTCCAAAACATATCACTTTATTAAATTGTTTGAAAAAGAACATCAGGCAAAACACATGTATGATCCTAAATGAGAAAGCACATTGTTGGAGTAGTCAGCTCGGGTTGACTTGTGCAGTGAAATCTGAAGATGTTAATGGGAAATTTTTTTGTAGTTTTGTTTTGGAAGCAAGGACTCAAAACGTTTCATTTTACCAAATTCTGTTCCTAAGTGGCTCATGACTGCAGCGGAGAATCAGTGGGTCAATATGGCACCTGGTATGCTGTAGACTTTACATGTAGCTAGGGTTGAAAAAGTACATGCCATTGTAATACTTCACACCCTGTCCATATTTGTTTTCCTGGAAATAGGAGTCAGCATTTTCTGCATGCATTTGTATGGGACAACTCGTGGGCCTTCAGGCCTGTCGTCGGTTGGAAGAAGTTGCTTTGGCATCAGTAGCAGATATCTGTGAACATTAGATAAGCTCTCACTAAAATCACATACAAGTTAAAACGTCTATACAGTATTCTACAATTGTGCCTTGTCTCTGTTTCCCTTTGCGTCTCTTAGATCCATGGTTCAGATGGAGACATTTGAAGACTCCCAAAGATCACCATGCCCTGGACTTCTGGAAAGCCCAAAACGTGGTCACCGCAGGATAAAAACTGGAGTGTGTCAATGAGCTGTGATGCCTCATGGGTTTTTGTAGCCGGCGGACTTCTTTCCGCTGACCATATAGAAAGGTGGAAGTCTGCCTGTACAGGTTGATGGATCACAAAGCCCAGGTGGCCCTGAAGATCCCCTTGGACCGGCTGCTCCTGGGGAACCAGGACTTCCTGGCTCACCACGTTCTCCATTTTTGCCATCCTTGCCAATACCGGGAGCACCTGGTGCACCTGAGGTTCAGATAGAAAACACATGAAATGTCAAAGTCAAACAGTCCATAAAATTATTTTTGGCAAAGGTATTAGTATATAAATATAGTGTATATTCACCATGTTAGTTTTGACTTGACTGTATATTGTAAATTGATTGCTGGAACTGTGTGGGTGTGCACTAAATGGTTCCCAATGGCTACTGGTTCTGGATATATTTTTCAATGCTTTTAATTTTGTTTTCCAATTAAAAATGTATTCTTCTGCAATATCATTAATGTCACTTAAGTTACACAGAAACACTGGACTCTCTCAGATAATGTAAAGATTCAAAAGGTTTATGTTTTGACAACAAATTTTAAATATTTCAGCCGTGTTTCTGAAAAATCAAGTTTTGTCCGTCATTTTTGCTGAGGGCTCTAAATACTACAATACGCATGAGCCTCGGCTGCTGTTGCCATGTGAGGAAGCCAGTAGTGGTAGAGATCAGAGTTGCAATTGGGAATAAAAGCCATGGGGGCTGAATTAATCCAAAAGTGACGCAGACTGCACCCACCGTTTATGGAACATGTAAGAGAATTTTAGGCTCTGTGATTTGATGTTTCTTGCTGACATGCACCTTGGGAGTTATTAGTAATTAACTTCTACTTCGAGGTTTTTATTTACATAAGGCTTGTGCCTTCAAGACTTTTTATCAAAGATCCAGATTTTTTCAAACACAGTTGTTTATCTTTTGCACTGATGATTTAACTGGGAGAGTTTCATATCAGTCCGTAGCAGTGCTCCAGCTGTGAGTGACGCAACATTGAGCATGTTTGTTAGACCTTAGTGATACACAGTGACTTAAGTTCTTTGCAGGTAAACTGTGAAGAGCCTCTTTAACAGCGTGTCTCATAGCTCAAAACCTCAAAAGTAAGTCCACCACTGTCATTGGAAACGCCTACCCAGAGGCTGGAAGCTTGAATGCTGTTTCTACAAACAGCAAACTATAGCATGGCTATCTGGGAGCTCACTTTTTCAACTGTCGCTGGGCGGTGGACTGACCATGACGCACAGTATGCTGACTACAAAATAGAATAATCAACAATGGCGATTCAGTGTGCAGACTAAGTGGGACTAGGAAAGTTTATTTTCTGTATATTGTATGTATATTTTCTGATCTGAAGTTAATGATATTGTGCAGCCACACTTCAAAGGTAATGGAAAGAATAACAGTTTATTTATTAAAGTGAATTAGTGATGAATCACCCTCAAGCACAATCATACATAAATAGTAGCTATTATTAGTAGTTTTACGCAAAAACCATGATGCAAAAATAGCAAATTGTCAAAAGTTTTAGGGGAGCTCACGTCTTATTAAGAGGAGCCAAGATCCTCCTTGACTCCCTGGGATTGATACTCAACAATCAATCAACTATCTTTCTTGCCTTTGGTTGGTCTCATGTATAAATGTAAGGCTACAGTGAAAAGTTTTTTTTTATAAAGAGTACCTACTGCAGCTTTAATAAAGAGAAATGCAGACATTTTAAAGACCTTTTCCTCTCAGCAGTGATGTGCTCTAATTATAACAAGAATTGAGCCTTACCTGCTGCACCTGGTGCGCCTGGGCTTCCTTTGATTCCTACACCGTCCTCTCCCTTGTCTCCCTTATCTCCCTTTTCACCAGCATCACCTGCAGAATAGAGGACACACAAATTATTGCTGAGATGAGAGAGGCATACTGTTTTCACAGTTATGGGGATGTAATTAGGAAACTTAATGGCTCTGATTCAGCCTTGTTTAGTGAATCATTGATTGTATAATATTATGCATGGGTGAATCCCTTCCATCTGCAGAGCGCTCTATGCAACTTCTTTTCAGTGTTCTGTGCCAGTGTGAAGACAAAGGCTTACTGCCAGGACCCACAGTCTTGTTTTTAGTAAAGGCTTCATTTAATTTCTTGCCACTAAATCCACTGTATTAGTTCTGGATGCTTTCCAAGAAAATAAAGGAGAGGCAAAGGCACAGGTTATCTATCACAGCACTGGTGAAACACATTCGGTATTTGCAAACCACTTAAGGCTCTTCTGAAGATTGCTGAAGCCAGCCGTTTTGGTTAACTGCAAACTGGCTCTGTTGGAGTTCAGTTTTGAGTAGTGGAGAATGGTTTCAGGCTTACTGACCTTTCTTGCCTGGTATGCCTGGAAGTCCAAAGAAGCCTGGATGGCCTTTGGGACCCATCGGCCCAGGGGTTCCTGCTGCTCCTGCCACTCCAGCTGGTCCAGCGGGGCCTGGAGGTCCTGACGGTCCAGGAATACCAGGAGCACCAATGGCTGCTGGCTTCTTCATAAACTCTTTCATAAACTCGGCTAATTGCTCTAGTTAGACAAAGAACAAATCAGCTTATAAGTACTGTTTAAGTGATTAGTTTGACCATGGGTTAAATATAGAGGAGATATGGATGTGATAAGGTCAAATTAAAGAAAACAAAGCACCTCCAACAACCACTGAGCACATCTCGCGAAGCTTGTCATCACTCACTTTTGGGCCCTGTGGTTTAATGAATGAACAGTTATTAGTCCAACTAATATACCACAGTACTGTACAGTAGGCTACATACTCTACATTGGCAATGGTAACACTTACAGGTAGACCTCTGGGGCCTGGTGTTCCAGGAAGGCCTGGTTCTCCCTCCAGTCCTCGAGCTCCCATTGGACCAGACAAACCCTCGTGGCCCGGCTGGCCTGGTCTGCCAGTATCTCCTGTAGCTCCACTCTGGCCCTTCTCTCCACGCTTAAGGTGGAAATTAACACATTTTTTACCATTCTTAATTCCTTGTTGTGCAGGGGTTCTATGTGAAATGATCCTTAAGCAACAGAAACAAAACGTTTTAATACCTCTCCTTTGATTCCAGTAACACCAGGAGGGCCCTGAAAACACACAAAGTTTAGTTGACGTCTTCCAAGTCCACTCACAGACGGGTCGTCACATTTTTTCAACCAAACAAAACATAGCTCCACATACCTGGTCTCCCTTGACCCCGAGATCTCCCGCTGGACCTGTGTCGCCCTGTTCACAGAAGGAACGTGGTGAGTGTGTTTACTGTACTGACGCTGAAACATTTGAAGCAAATACAGAGATTATAATTACCTGGCTTCCTTTTTGTCCCACTGGTCCCATAGGCCCCTAGACAACACATTAAAAAAAACGTTACAAACTTCACTTCACCTAAAGATTCTCATCAGTGTGGATGTTTAAAAGGTGAAATAAGATTTGTCTACCTGATCACCTTTGAGCCCAGTATGACCCTTCATTCCTTTGGCACCAGTGTCACCTTTATCTCCTTTGCCACCCTGGAAATATAACATTTTATATGCATCTATTGTATACATTTTGACATTTTGAATTTTTTTCCAAAGCTGGTAGTGATGTTGATTATCTTGTGTCTATAAATTCTCTTCATCT